TTGCATATATGCAAATTGCAAAAACGCATATTGGGAAGAGGCTGTGTGTGTGTGTGTTCGCACTTTTTGTCACCCAGAAAAGCTAGAAGGCAGGAAGTTTGAGAGCATGTGTCCATACCATCCGCGACCTTTTCGTTTTAAATTCATCCCCCGCGGACGCCTGGGTGCCGTGTACGGACGTCTTAAAAAAATATGCAAATTTTTTGACGGGAAAGTGATCTCGGGAACAAGACAAGGTTAGGGGCTGAAACTTTGTAGGGGTATTCCCTGTGCATGTGTTAGCTAAAGATTTCAAATTCAGCCCCCAGGTATGCATATTACTCAAGTAAGGACGCATGGAAGTTTTGGCGAGAAAACTGCTAACTCGGCAACCAGGAAAGCTAATTTTACGGCGATGTTCCCTGCCCACTTGCAATTTAAAAACTTCAAATTCAGCTTTCCCAAGTACCCACACACGGGCATGTGAAAGTTTTGGAGGGAAAATTACTAACTGGGAACCAGAAAAGCTAGAAAGCTGAAATTTTTGGGGAATATCGCTTTTCCAAGTACAACTTAAATACTTCAAATTCAGCTTTGAAAATGAACTTCAGTTTACTGAACTGCACGCCGTCTGACTAATAAACCCTTCGCAGTATTCAGGCTGTAGATTCTGCACATACTTTCATGAACGGTGCTTAGTTGAAATAAACTGAACGAACTTTTCCAGTAAGAAAAATTCACACAGAATTACGAAATGCGGCAAAAATTTGGGATTTCGAGCTCTGGAGACAACAACACGTGCGCACACCCATGTGCGCAATAAGAAGAATAGACTCTTGTTTTTACTTGCATGACTGTATAAAAAATAATTTACACAGTGCTAGAAATTTCTGAAATTGTTGAACTGTCTAACTTTTGCTCAGGGAAAACGCAAGAAATAGTGAGACGAATTTAGTACTACTAAGATCATCAAATAATCAATGCTAAATTCTCAATATTAAAGGAAAGCAACCAAACACCGAGTGTGACTGTACTGAAAATTACGTACTGCACTAGTTTCAGTTCATTACGCTAGGTCTGTCACGTTGTAAAATACACTTAATGAATCAAAACATGGTACCTGAACTTTCAGCAGCAGTTTGCTTCCGTCTCCCGTTTTAGTGAGCAGTATGAGAACATTCTCGAGCAGAACAACGTGCAGTTCGATCATTTTATTTCGACTGTACCGCCACGTTAATGGACCATCGTGAACAAGCTTATAGCTGCAGAGAAACGCACGTACAGGACATTCATCTTTTTCACGTTTACACCTTGATTTAGCGCACTATCACAGTGGACTACCAAATTTCATAGTGCATGTAGTCTTCTACTATCTCGTCACAGCAGTGCAACCAAAAAATACCTGAGATCTGAAAGAAGCTAACAGCAGATCTTACAGTCCTGAGACGATGCCTCGCCCCCTGCTCAAGGTAGGCAAGTTCTTTTGAAAGTAGCATCTGCTGCAATCATTCCTCCGCAGAGCTGTCCTAAGTTGCAAGATATCTCACAATTTCAATCCTTCGTGCTAGTAATCGGTACCAGGGAATAAGAGGACATTAAACTTACAGACATTAAAAATCTTTAGAATGATGCCAAAAACAATCTGCTTCGATTAAACCTTTCTAATGGAAGTACAAACAAACAGCAGAGACATCAAACAGAAGACGCCATTAGTTCAAAAGCCTTCACCAGACAACTGAAACTCTAGCAACCAAAATTATCACTCGTTATCAGTTTGCTTGCAAGCAACCCTTGAAAGAGGACGCCCGTGCTGCCGCTGGATATTGCTGACACTTGGTTTCCCTGGACTACTTCCAGAATGCCTTCGTCTCGCACAGGAACTGAACACGAAGAGAGTTTCGATTTTGAAAATTGTCGCTTTTACTAAGTACTACTCAGGTGCAACAGTAAGGCATTTTCGAATTTTTAAAGTCCTCAGAAGAAGCACGGGACAGCTTTTGAGCTCAAACATCAGAATAAATGAATGGATGCATATGAATTCTTGAATCTGGAACAACATGCGCAGAAATTAAGTCAAACTACAGGTAGTTAATGCAAAAAACAGTATGGCAACAACACATGTCAGCATCTGAGTGCCAGCTATTTCATTTTAAAATGCGAAAAATTCAAAAATCAGTCGTTAACTAACTGTGTAAGGTTTAAAGAGTTGAAATCGTTGCCGAAATTTTCGCGATCGTACGGCGTTGTAACTAATCGTTTTTGCAGTTCTTCTAGTCTTCGCAAATTTTCCGCATTTCTTTTGGCAGTATTTACAGCTAAAATGTTTTTCCACATAATCCGATTTTCAAAATTTAAAGGGAATAACGTCATATAGCAAAATATACTGCAAGAACGCATACTAGCCCCTTCTAGCGACATGAAAAGATGAGGAAAAGCAGAACTGCAAACAACAAAACCACACCAGTAAAAACTCAGGCTGGAACACACCAGGCTTGCTGATGCGATCACGCGTTTTTGCACTAAACTCACAGATCGCTAATAGCAGGAATGATCACCGCGCTGTAGCCTAACAATTCGGCTCATATTGGCCGTGCTCTGGCCTCTTCCGGCGCGCAGCAGAAAGGGCGCCGGTTGGGATGGGATGAAGGCATTGCAATACAGGACAACGTGGACCTCCAGGTACATGATTACCAGTTTTTTTTGCATGAAGCCCGATAATTTTCCTGGCAAATGTTCGCTCTTCGAAAAAATGCAAATCCCTAGTTCACTGAAAAGTGGAAATGCCGCTACAGCGGTCAATCGTTAAAAAATCCAAATATGCAAATAAGTTCATTTACACATTGGGAGAGGATGAGGGCGGTCGTTCGCTGCAAAATGCACTTGCTTCTAATTTCAAGTATTTCTCACGCCCAGTTGCAGGGAATTTAAATTCCAAGTAGAATTAAGGTCGCACTTGAAAGTGGAATATCCCAGCGAAGTTTCAGCCTCGCATCCTATCCGATAAGCGAAATAGCCACTTTGTTACAAATATCTTTGAAGTGCCTTAAGTCGTGGCGCGATTGTAAATCGGCACTCATTTCAGGTATACGATTTCCCATATGGGCGATAAATATGCTGACAAAATTTCAGCCACTGTTTTCCCGCAAGTTGCAAATTTTGACATAGCAAACACAGCGCCAAGTTGCAAATTTTGGCGTGATCAAACGCGCTGCACAAGCGTGCGCGTTGACTGAATTTGAAATCTTTAGCTCGCGCGTGTAGAGAGAATATTCCTGCAAATTTTCAGCTTTTTACCTGCCCTGGTTAGCGAAACCGGTTCCCGCCAAAGAAGTCTCCATGCCCTTTTTCGACAGTCCGTAAGCGGGATGACACACGGGATAGGAACATATATCCAAAATTTCAGCCTTCCAGCTTTCCTAGCTGCTAAGATGAAAGTGGGTGACAAAGTTCACATACAGACGACCTCTCGAAAATATGCATTTTTGCTCGCTGTAGCAACGCTAGAGCGCTGCACAACAAAAACGCATAAAAATCCCACCATAGCAGGTTTTCTATCAGAAAGCGCATGAAAATTAGTCGAAAGACATCAAATCATTCCGAACTTACTGGGCTGAGTTAAAAAGCTGAAACCAGCGGCGGCAAATTAGGACTGTGCGAAACAGTACTAGCGCCAAGTTTTTCGCCTCCACTACACCACTGTTACCAAAACCCCATGGAAATTTTAAAAAGTGCACCTGAAAGTATCCTCTTCGCAGAATTCACGCTGTTCAAGATCTTTGTTTGCTCCTCGGATGGCTCCTGCGTATATTTGGCAATTGTTTCCAGCAACAAAGGATATTTGACAAGCCTTTGCATCTCAACTGGAAGCATATCCTTCAGCTGTAATTTGCGACATAGTGGGTTACTTTCAGCTTCCATCAAAAACCTGCTCAGCTGATCGTCCTTTTCCTTCTTACATCTATAAAACGAAACATCGAGAACGTTACGCTAGAAAAGTACACTAATTTTTTAAATGAATCGTCCTGGCAAAAAGTAGTAGTACCTCAGCATTTTAATTCGTCGTACTTCATGCAAATTTCTTCAATTACCTGCTAAGTAATGAACAAAAAAATAAAATTTGTGTTCTCCTAAAAAAACTGAGACATAGAAGATTATTAAAGTTGTCAAAAGCGTCTCGTTCTCTTTAGATTGCCTTCCAGGAAAAAATTCTTAAACTGTCTCTTCGAGCCAACAAGAAAGAAAATTTTGTAAATTACCGCTGTCTAAGAGTATCCAGTGCATGCTGCTGGTGTTGGCAAAATGTAGCTGTTGCGTCCATTAGTTTGATACCATTTTCACCATCGAACAGCTCTTCCATTAGGGAACCGACATCACCCAACAATCCATTTAAATCGCAATCATGCTTCCATTCCTCCACAAGACTCCTCATCATTCTGAAATTGACAAAAAGGGAACAGTCTTCCAGAACACGGTTTTGGAAAAATGAAATTAGAGGATAGCTGCATATCTGCGTTTCAGAACAAAGCTTACTTTCTAGCTGGTGCCCCTATTTTCACACATATGACAATAGAAAGTCGAATTTTGCGATTTATTTAAAAATTGCTGT